TTCATAATACAAATATACATCCACACTACAAATATATCTACTATGAAGAACCGGATCCTCTTTGTAAGGATCTCGGGGATCCGTGAATCGTGTCTGTTTATCGTACATTGAGCGGTAAAAAATAATTTTAAAATTTTTTATTTAAAATTGAACACAAACAGCACCTAATGAAAACTGACGGCACGATATACGATGAACGGACACAATTCACGGATCCCCAAGATCCTCACAAAGAGGATCCGGATTGGCACTATGAGGTAAAAATGTTAGTACGAATACAATAATTTAAGCCCAAAAAGGGACTTACCAAGAGATTAAAAAAGGCCTAGGAAAAAGGGAAAGAAAAAAGTAGGATGTAACTTAACACCTTTTCTCTTCGTTGTGAGATCTTCCTCTCCGTTTGTGCGAGTTAAAGCGTTTTCATTAATTCCCTCATCTCTCTCCCACCTACTTCGCTTCCCACACATCCAATCTGCCTCACTTTAATTGATTAATACTCTTTCAAAAAACCACCCACAGCCACAGGATCGCTTGGATCCTGTTGGATTTATGGGGATCCTATTGCATTTATGGGGAGTTAAGGCAAAGCGCAACCCTTACCCACTTGAAATGAAGGCTCACTAGGAGGAATATACACCTACCAGCAGCTATACATTTATGGAGGTTTATACGGATCAAAAAAAGAATCTATACTGAAAACATAAATTAAATCAAATACATCATGCACATGCTGTATCTGGAAACTTGGCGGTTTTTGCATCAGTTTTTTTGTTTTTTGTTTTTGTTTTTGGATTTGGGTGATATACGAGTTTAAGTGCTTTAGCCATCTGGAGAAAGGAAAAGGGATGACGAATTTGGAAGTGCCAATAGGACCATTCTCTACGTCTCAACCAAACCAGAGATTTATGTAATGGCCTAGGTGGAGGTCGAAGATTTGGTGGTCTAACTAGAAGAATCTTTGGAACTGTCCAACATGGAATAAGGTGTTAAACTAGTGAGGGAGACTCTGAATTTGAAACACCTAAACAAGTGGGGAATAAGGAACATTTTGAAGAAGGGCCTGGAAGGAGTATGGGGAGATCAACATCAATTGGGTCCAAGATAACAGGTTCATCATCATTGTGAATGATGAAGGTACGGTTGACCGGATTGTAGATCAAGTCTCATGGACGATCATAAACAAGTATTTTTTGGTCAAGAAGTGGTCGTTGGATCTTTCACTAGAGGAAATAAAGCTACACCTTGTTCCATTTTAGGTTTAAATGAAAGGTATCCATCTGAACCTAAACATGGAGACAAGTGCTAGAAGGCTAGCTACGGAGGTATGAGAGATTTTGGAGGTGGAAAGTCTGGTGCACGCTAGAGGGCTCTTCAAAGCTAGGATTTTGGTAGACACCATAAATCCCATGGTTACTCGGTGCTGGTTATAGAGATATGGGGATGCATAGTCATTGATTGAGTTTCGATATGAAAGACTCCAGGACTTTTGTTACAAATGTGGGTAGATTGGGCATGTCAATAATGAGTGTTAATTTACACAGAATCGAGGGGGTTCTGCTGACTATGGGGAGTAGACTAAGGCGAAGAAACCCAAGGAAATCGTGGAGGATAACCGTCCACCACTGATGGCCTTATTTGGGGAGTGCAAGCAAGCCGGCGCGATAAGGGACCACTGAAGGGTTAAACCCATGGAAATCACAACACAAACGCGTGTAAATGAGCGTGAGAGATGCAGGAGTGAGTTTAGAAAGCTTGACACAGATGTTGGGGGAAGCGGGGTGACACTTTGCACTAGGATGTTTGAACCTACATTTTTTTTTTTTGGCAGCAAAAGTAGGGATGAGCAGAATGGTGTGTTCCATGTCAATATTGATGGGCCTAGATCCTTTGGGCCGAGCTTTATTGATGTTAACCAGCTTAAGGCCACTTGGAGTTTCTTGGGCCACTTCCTAAAGCTCATAGAAGTGGAGTAATTATCCAAGAAATTGAGGAAAATACTAGCCTGGGTCGACCTGTGAGAACCTTGCGGCCCAACCGTGATGGATAAGATGCCCATAGGTTAAGGGGGCAACGCCATGGACTTTCAGCCCTTACAATCACAACGACCAACCTACATGGCAGAGCCTCCACCTCAAACCAACCATAAATGAACCTCTTTGAAGACCTGGGTTTAAAGAAGAAATTTGGGGACAAGGTGGCTTTTGGCTCTTAATCACCATCTAAGAAAGTAAAGAAAGGGCAGAGTAGTTCTGAAACTAGATGAGGGAAAAAAAAAGGTTTATTGAGATGTTATTGAAATAACTCTGGTTTGCAAGGAAAAGGCTAATTTTGCTGAGGAGGATCTGCACGAAGTCTCAGTAACTGAAGAGGAAAATATTTGGGATTACCTTGAGATTATCTCAAAAGTCGAAACTAAGACACTAATGGCGCAAATAGCGGGGGAGAAGTCCCGGGGTGGTGGCGGTTGGCCTGAAACAGCCGCAAAATTGCCATGAGCTACCTTTTTTGGAATTGTCGGGGTCTAGGGTTAAACACGAGGTTTCCATGGGCTCTTTAGGAAGTAAAAAACCTCTGTGGTTTTTTTTATTAGAAACAAGAATGAAAAACCACAGATTAATTGGTGTTAGAAAAAGAATTGGGTTTAATCTTGGATGTGAAGTCCTTCCTATTAGGGTAGCAGGTGGTTTATGTTTGTGGTGGAACGACCCAATTGAAGTCCAAGTATTGTTCTCTTCAAAAAATATTATTCATACAAGAATTAGGGATGGGTGCAACAACTCATGGGGCCATGCCACTTGGGTTTATGGCAACCTTTACAGAACGGAGAAACGAGGGTTCTGGGATTGTCTTTTGCATGTCTTAGGGCCTTCGAATGACCCATGGTTCTGCAGGGAATGAGGATCTTTAATGATTTCTCATGGGATCATGAGAAGTCTGGAGGACATGAAATTCCTCATTCTTACCCTAGATATCTTCAGGAGTTCACGTCGTGAATGAAACTCTTTGATCTCATATTTAATGGACCGAAGTTTACCTAGCGTGGGACGAGAAATAATAGCCTCATTCAGGAATGCTTAAACATAGGGCTTATGAATGAGAGCTGGCAAGAGAGGTGGCCAAACACCATTGTGTTTCATGAAACAATTTGAGCATCTGATCATTGCTCGATAGTTATCAATTTTGATCCAGCACCTCTGCGAGGAAAGAAGATCTTTCGATTTGAATCTTTTGGCTGGAGGAAGAAGGTTGTCGTGAGATAATTGAAAAATGTTGGCGAATCCACTACGGGGGTAGCGCCCTTAGGAATTGGCAGAGGAAACTTGATGTGTGCAGAGCAGACTATTGAACTGGAGTAGAAGGAAATTCAAAGAAGGCATGATGGAGATTGATGATCTCAGCACAAAACTAGGTTGCCTGCATGAGCATTGGGAAGAACATTGTGATCAAATTACTGAAACGAATTTAGGTTGAATGCTGCATTGTCTTCCATCATGAGCTATCTGCAAACAAGGGTTGATGGAGAATTCTTCTATGAATTGCAGTGAGCGTTTAAAATTGAAGAGCGTGAAGGGGAGTGAGGAAGAGAAGAGGGAGAAAACAATGAAGAAGATGAGATGGTGAGGAGGATCATTCCATAAAATTGGGTCTAATGCTGCATCGTCTTCCATCATCAACCATATCTTCTCTGTTGTTTTCCCTTTTTTCCTTTCTTCCTACCTCTCTTTGTCACCTATTCCTCAGTCGAAAGATCATTCCATAAAATTAGATAGAAAAACCATTTCTCTCCTCCTTCCTTTGTTTTTTTCCCATTACTTCCTCTCATCCTTCATCTGTCTCTCTCTTTTACTTACTCCTTCGTCGATGTAAGTTAGATTTTAGGGCAATGGATCGATAAATTTGGAAATTCACATAAGCGCGGCTACGTAACTGGCCGATTTGGATGGTTTGTCAGAACCTCAGAGTCATAAAACGGTGCAAGTGCTTTACTCTGACAGGGTGCATGTGCAGATGGAAAGGCTGGATGCTGAAGTGGGAGTCGAAAAAAAAGAGAAACACATGGTGGGGCTAGGTGATAAAGACCTTTAAAGGTACATTGGGTAGAAAAGAATGATTATGGATTGAGGCCTTCACCCATAGTGGGATTAGGCTTTTTAGCCAAAATGGTCCTTGAGGTTTGCATAAGTCCTCATTTTGGTCCCTGAGATTTGAAATCAATAGAAATGATCCCTGAGATTGTCCACCATCAATCATTTTAGTCGTTCCGTGAAAAATTATGTTAAATAAGGATCAAAATGACAAAAATACCCTCAATTTAAAACAATAGGCCAAAATGATTTGACAAAAAAATTGAGGGTACTTTTATCATTTTATTCTTATTTAATTGAGATTTTTTATGGAATGACCAAAATGATTGATTATGGACAATCTCAGGGACCAAAATGAGGAGTTATGCAAATCTCATGAACTATTTTGGCTAAAAAATCGTGGGATTATCACCTCCATCTCAGTAATCCAATTCCTCCAAATTCTATGAATATGAATTTTTTTACTGGATCTCACCATATTTTTATTGCCAAAATGATGAGTAAACACTAGAATCCTTTTAAATGCATAGTGCTTCCCTTTCATTTCATCCCAACCCTAACCTAGTAAACACGTCATTAGAAGAGCGAAAATATTATATACGGTATGTATTTTATTTATTAACTTGTGAACATTGTGGATTTCATTATATTTTTACCAAGTCACGCACCAATCAACAATTTACAGTCGTCAAATTGAATATCATATTAAGTATACCACATCACACCACCAAATTATTTATAATCGACTCATGTCAGGTGGATCCTACCACATCATGCACACCTATCAATCATTCACAATCGTCATATATCCTTATCCCACACCAGCCAACTGTTCATAGTTGTCATGAATGTCATAAATACCACCAACCCACACATGAACTCTTGAGACTACTATATATGGTTTGAAGAGTTAAATAAAATCACTCAATATTTCTTCTAATTGTTACATTTCTTTCTCAAAATTTCTCCTTTTTATCACCCAAAAGAAAAACTATGGAAATCCATGATGGATCTAGTGGGCTTGTGGGGAACAACAAGAAGTACTCAATACTCTTTTTCTTGATGAAGGTGTTGAGGGAGCTGTTGTTAGAAGACCGTAGCTTTCACAAGTTGTTGGTGATTGCAGTGCATGCAGTGTTTCTAGAGTTCGGTTTCGTCCAATTCGACTCATTTTCGGGTGCCCAAGTCGATCGCTTTCATCTCTCAGACGAGTGGCCAACGACACCTTTCACGTTGTCGTTTACCTACACTATGCCCGAAATTCTAAAAAATCGAAATAATTGTGTTTACGTTTTCGGGTCTTTAATTGGAATAGACGGCGTCCTAATAAGATTTCAGAAGGTGTGCAACTCTGTCTACGTTTTCGGGTCTTTAATTGGAAGCGGGTCGGGTTCTTACTGGGTACAATTGAACCCCGAGAGGTTTGGGCCCATGATCCGAATGCTGAACGACACAAAAGGACTTGTCGCTAAAGAAGAAGTTTTGGAACTGTGGAAAATTGTGAAGGACGAGATTGTGCTGCCGTTGGCGATCGATCTTTGTGCGAATGCTGGTTTGCCAGCTCCGCCGAGCTTCATGCAGCTTCCGTCGGAGATTCAAATGAAGATTTTGAGGTTGTTGCCCGGTGTGGATATTGCCATGGTGGGTTGTGTGTGTAAGGAATTGAGGGATCTTGCTAACGATGACGAACTGTGGAAGCAGAAGGTTTTTGATGAGTTTACTGTTGAGTTTCTTCTTGATCAAACCTCAAGCATTATCAGTTTTGGATAATGGTGAAATGTTTTACAAATAAATTGTGAGAAATTATATGAAAATTTTGAATAAAAGGAATAAATTCGTATCAAAATTATGCCAAGTTCTGTGAATTCTGCTAAATCAAACATCAATTACAGTTGTGGATTGTTCAATAGATTATTGTGACACATTCCATGGGCTGTACCACGTCAGACACTAAATGACCAAATAAAAAAAAATGTGTTAGCCCAGCAACTGCGGGATGAAGGGGTACCAGCCCATCCTGACTTTTGAAAAAAAAAATTAGTGCACTACTCATTGTTCTTTTCTTGTTGCTAGTAAAAGAAAATGGGGCACATCCCAAAGAAAAGTCAAAGAGTAAATTAGGCACATCCTACCAAAAAACTTTGATTGTTCCTAAAAATAATTTTCAAATAACATTACTTCAAAATTATTTTGGGTAAATTACATAGTAGCCCTCAGGTTTGAGGTCTATTACAACCCATATAACATTTTACTTTCATACCTCAAGTACTATTTTATTTCAAAATAATACATCCGTTACATTTTCCATCCATTGATCTGTTAAGTGCTAACGTGGCTTCCAAATGTGTGCCACTTGGCTGCCAAATGTATGCCACATGGCAAAAATAATAATTTTTTATTTTTTTTTCTTGAAAAATCTGAATCTTCTTAAAAAAAACAAAGCAAAAGCTAAACCCCCTTCCCCTCCCCCCACACCCACACACAAAAACCTAGAAACTTACACACCCCCTTTCCCAGACGACCCACCTCTCAGAGGCCCTTCCCGTCGCCCCCTCCGCCCCCCTCTCATCTCCCCTATCTTCATCCTCTTCCCCCGACCCCCGTACCTGCAACCTAGAGAAAAAAAAACCCCAATCCCGTCTAAACTTCGATTCTTCTCGCTCCTTTGACCTCTCGCGCTTCGCTTCTCGATGCCTGGACCTCTCTCTGCTCCCTTCCCTCTCTTCCTTCGGCTTGTAGGACAGTTCACAGTGGTCGCGTGAGACATCCCGACCGTTGTTACTCGGCTCGCTTGACTGTTCGCGGCGTGATTTGTGGTCGCAGGGCTCGCAAGAGATCTCGCGCTTGGAATTACGGTCCAATCGGTGGTGGTGGTGGTGGTGGTGGTAATCGAAGTCCTTTGACGATCGCTTTTCATCGGCATCACGACTGCGATGTTTGTCGTAGTCTCTGTCGTCCTCACTCCAGAGCTTCAAAGAATGGTGGTTGCTGTCCCTAAGGTCAAACTCTTGGATTTCTGTGTATGAATTGAGAAAATTGTTGTTTAATTTCATGATTTGAATATCTTGGAATGTTGTGGGTGAGGTTACAGATGAGAGAAGGGAGAAAGGGGGTGGGGGTGAAAAGGAGAAAGGGCTCGGGGAAGGTGGGGGTGGGGTGGGTTTTTAGATGGGAGGGGAGGTGAAGAGAGTGGAGGAGAGGGAGGTGGTTGGGAGGGAGAAGAAGGGTAGGGAGAGGTTGCGGGGGTGGTTCTGCATTTTCTAAGTTTTGGTTTTTTTTTTTTTTAAAGAAGATTCAGATTTTTCAAAAAAAAAAATTATTATTTTTGCCACGTGGCACACATTTGGCAGCCACGTCAGCACTTAACGGATCAATGGATGGAAAATGTAACAGATGTATTATTTTGAAATAAAATAGTACTTGAGGTATGAAAGTGAAATGTTTTAAAGATATTGTATAGGGTTGTAATAGACTTCAAACCTGAGGGGCTACTATGTAATTTACCCAATTATTGTCTTTTAAATCTCAAATTTTCAAAAATCTGTTTGGTTGAGTTTTTAAAAATAATTTTTTTGGTTTGAATTCAAACTACCTTGAGCAGAAATTGGAGGAGAGAGACAATTGGGAAAGAGGAGAGAGGAAATAGTTGGCGAGGAGAGAGAAAGACATGGAGAGGGCAAGGAGGTGGGGAGAGAGCAAACAATTACGGTGAGAAGGTGAGGAGTGAGAAGAAAGAGAGGGTGATGGGACAAAGGCTGAGGAGAGAGAGAGAATACAGGGTGTGGCGTGGGAAGAGAGGAAATAGAGGGTTAGGAGAGAAAAAAGAAAGGGCTAAAGAGAGAGCAAAAAAAAAGATGTTGAGGAGAAAGCAGAAAGAAACTCTAAAACCTCACTTTTATTTGTTTTTAAGAAATAGCCTATATTTTTAAGTTAGTTTTGAATCCAATTTTTAAAAAAGTCATACCAAACAAGAATTCAACGCCTAAAACTCAAAAATTATTTTTCAGTTTAAAAAGTTGAACTTAAGTAGGATACCAAATAAGCCCTTATATTTTACATCTTCAAGTTTTAGGGGATGTATTCAATTGAGATTTTGAGGGATTTTAATTCTTTTAATGAATCTAGAAGTATTTAATCAAGATTTTAAGTGATTCTTTGAAATTCAATATGTATTCAATCAGGATTTTAAGATAGTTTATTAAAATCTTTAGAAATCCAAGTGTATTCAATTAGAATTTTAAAGAAGTTTATAACATTACAAGTGTATTCAATTAGAATTAGAATTAGAATTTAAAGAATTTGGAAAAGTTGAGGAATTAGAGGGAATTGGAGAGATTTTGTAGTTTATTTTAAGTATCCACAAATCTCACATCTCCCTATGAGATTTCGAAGGAATTGAATCAAAATTTTACATAGAATCTCTACAAATTAGTTAAACTCCATAAAAATCCATGGATTTATAAATCCATTAAAATAATGACTCTGGATTGAGGCTTTCACCCATAGTGGGATTACACCTCCATCTCAGTACTCTAATTCCTCCAAATTATGGAATTGAATTCCTATTTTTTACTGGATCCCACCTTGTTTTTTATTCTCAAAATGATGAGTAAACACTGGAATCTTTTTAAATGGGGAGTGATTCCCTTTCATTTCATCCAGGGCCGGTCCAGAGATTTTTGAGGCCCAGGGCGACATAAAAAAAAGTGCCCTAACTTCATGTAAGAAAATTATTTATTTTCACACATAAGACATCTAAAAAATTATACTTAGAAAAACACTTCAAACTCAATAATTTAGAAACATAAAAAGACTAATTTATTTTGTATTGAGAGAGGGAAACAAAAAGACTTCGGGCTTACAAGTAGATAGATGATGAGTTTTGTTTTCTATCTGAACTTTGAATGTGTTTTTGAATAAATCGTGAGATGTTTTTTTCTTATTTACTAACCTTATCAATATGGGACTAAAAAATAATGATGTTTTCGAGTTTTTAATTGATATGCATTATTAATGAATGGGCACTAAATTAAACATTTTGATGACACATCATATAATTTGCAAATTTAGTCTACGTATTATTCTTTGTTGAAGATTGGACTTTAATTAAAACGAATATTTAAAAATAACAACCCACATAGCTACTAGATAGTAACTAAAAATAAATTAACAGCCAAACAAAAATTTTTAAAAATTGAAAAAAATAAACATGCACTTAGCATTTCGAACTTAGGACCTCTTGTTAATTTTAAACAACAAAAATCATTGTTTCTAATTAAACTTCTTGATCCTTTAACCAAATTTTATAAACTTATACTCTTATAAAAAGAAATTTGTAAAAAATGGAAAGCAAATAAGAACACATGATGTTTTGAACCCAAGACCTCATTATTATTTTCAATGACAAACCATCACTTCTAGTTAAATTTCTGTGTCTTTGAACCAAATTTTATAAATTTATACTCTCATAAAAATATATATAAATATATCATCCTAATAATTTTGGTGCCCCTAATTTTTTTGGGCCTTGGACAGTTGCCCTACCTGCACTGGGCCTGAGCCGGCCCTAATTTCATCCCAACCCGGATTGGTAAACACACCATTACAAAAGCGGAAATATTATACACGTATGTATTTTATTAATGTGTGAACATGGTGGATTTCATTCTATTTCTACAAAGCGACGAACCAATCAGCAACTTACAGTCGTCAAATTGCATAACATGTTAAGTAATACCACATCACACCAACAAATTGTTTACATTTGTCTCATGTCAAGTGGATCCTACCGCGTCCGACACACCTATCAATCTTTCTCAGTCGTCATATATCATTATCACACACCAACCAATTGTTCACAATTGTCACGAATGTCATAAATTCGACCAGCCCGCACATGAACTCTTGAGACTATATATATGGTTTGAAGAGTAAATAAAATCACTCAATATTTTTTCTAATTGTTCCATTTCTTTCTCGTCCTTTTTTTTTTTTTTTATCACCCAAAGAAAAATTATGGATATCCATGGTGGATCTGGTAGGCTTGTGGGGAACAAGAAGGACTACTCAATACTCTTTTTCTTGAGGAAGGTATTGAGGGAGGTGCTGTTAGAAGACCGTAGCTTTCACAAGTTATTGGTGACTGCAGTGCATGCAGTGTTTCTAGAGTTCGGTTTCATCCAATTCGATTCATTTTCGGGTGCCCAAGTCAATCGCTTTCATCTCTTAGACAAGTGGCCAACGACACCTTTCACGTTGTCGTTTACCTACACTATGCCCGAAATTCTGAAAAATCGGAGTAACTGTGCCTACGTTTTCGGGTCTTTAATTGGAATAGATGGCATCCTAATAAGATTTCAGAAGGTGCGTAACTGTGTCTACGTTTTCGGGTCTTTAATTGGAAGCGGGTCGGGTTCTTACTGGGTAATTTTGAACCCCGGAGAGGTTTGGGCCCATGATCCGAATGTTGAACGACACAAAAGGACTTGTCGCTAAAGGAGAAGTTTTGGAACTGTGGAAAACTGTGAAGGATGAGATTGTGCTGCCGTTGGCGATCGATCTTTATGCGAACGCTTGTGTGCCGGCTCCGCCGAGGTTCATGCAGCTTCCGTCGGAGCTTCAAATGAAGATTTTGAGGTTGTTGCCCGGTGTGGATATTGCCTTGGTGAGTTGTGTGTGTAAGGAATTGAGGGATCTTGCTAACGATGAAGAACTGTGGAAGCAGAAGGTTTTTGATGAGTTTACTGCTGAGTTTCTTCTGATCAAACCTAAAGCAATATCAGTTTTCAATAATGCATGGTGAAGTTTTTTACAAATAAATTGTGAGAAATTATATGAAAATTTTGAATAAAATGAATAAATTCTCATCAAAATTTTGCTTAGTTCTATGAACTCTGCTAAAGCAAACACCGATTACAGTCGTGGATTGTCCAATAGATTATTGTGACACATGCCATGGGCTGTACCATGTCACACACTAATTGAAATAGGAAAAAAATGTTGGATATATGTCAACAATTCGTAATAAAATAAATATGCTAATAATAAATACGAATAAATATATTCCAGAGACTCAACAAGATGAAATATTAATTAAGCAGAGTAATAAAAGATCGAGGCTTGCGTACCGCAATGTCCTTGAAACAGAAATTTCGCCCCTACTCAGTGCTTGTAGTTCTACGGACGTCTGCTTCACCAGGATTCAACGATCTAAGTTAGAAATTCCAGCACCGGAAAATTGACTTCTGACGAATATTAATGTGGTTCTCTCAGAAATGATGTTTATGATTGCAGGAGAAGATTTATGATTTTTTCTATGTTCTAAATGTCATGCAGATGGATGTATATATAATGTGATTATACCTGTTCGCAACAGGTATGAGGAAGGGATGCATCTATTGGGAGACATCTGCTGAGAAGGGTGTTTTTGTTTCTGCGTTCTCACGCTTCAGACTTCATCTGAAAAGATGAGTCTATTGGTAAAAATAATTAATTAATTTAAATTCAAAATTAAAAATAAATAATTAATTCCAAAAATAATTAATTAATTTAATTATTAGAATATATATTAATTATATATTAATTACCAATTAATTAGTACACCCCAAATCCCAACCCCAAGGGTGAGCCCAATTTTAGTCTCCAGGCCTATTACTCCAATCACTTTCTATAAAAAACAAAACCTTATAAAGTGATAAAATCTTTTGGGAATGGCCAATGTGGGACAAAGAAATTTCTACTCAAACTACTCAAATTTCCAACAAAAAAAAAAGTTACCTAAGCAGCAGTAGATATTTTTCTGTGTGATTGCAACACAGGGTAATACACTATATGACACTATACAAATGATAGAATATGTGTGTTAAAAATTTAATGACTTAAAAATATAAATTTCCCACTACTTATATAAAAACACGTGGTGTACCACTTGTATTCCGATCACAATGAAAACTTTCTCCAATAGGGATGTGATATTCACATATCTCTTTTTACTTCTCACACATCATTATAATTTTTTGCCGTCAAATCAGATTAATTAAAAAAGATCAAGAAATAAAAATCAACAAGAGGTGTGTGGATAGCATAAAGAAAAAAGACAAAAATGAAAGTGTGAGAGAATAGGAGGAAATGAGATGATAATAAGAGGGAAAAAATTGTTCTCTAGCACATCCCAAAGAAAAGTCAAATCATATCTGTCATACCCCAATTGGCTCCATTTTAACTACAAACAGATCATATTTCCATCACATCCCACATAAAGATTAACATTTTATCTATATCAAAATTTAAATTTGAAGGGTTATATGGCATTTTGACATCTTTAAAGTTTTGTTTTCCATCTGATATGCCAAATTTTAAACATAAAATAAAAATTCATATTTACATTGGAGAAGAAAGAAAATGAATAAAAAGGTATTAAAATATTTAAATATTGCATTGGCAATTAAAGAAACAAAAGGCAATATTTTAATGGAAAACTAACCAAAACCCCCCAAAAACTTTCATTTTAATCATAAGGACAAATTTTTTTAATAATACCCCAAATGGGCATGGAAAAGAAGACAAGGAAAAGGTGATCTCAGAGATATCACATGCAAAAACAAAAATTGGGCTCTAGGAGACAGCTATGTAGTAAGCTCACATGTATTTATCAAGACAAGCAAGTTCACATGCAAAACAGAAAAAGGACAAATAAGTCAGACCATGTTTCAGAAACAGTGATGATAATTTCAGCAATAGTAGAAGATGACAAGTACCAAAGAGATGTCCATACCATACATCTGTAAAGATTTTTATTTTAGAGCACTTTCACTCAGTCTATATAAGAGGAGTTCCATTCATTGTAAAGACACACCTCACAACCTTTCAATACCTCTCAACATCCCAACACCTGAACACCCTACTCTCACCGTATACTCACACCATCTTCATACTCTCAAGCACCTGTAGTCTTCATAGCATCATTGTAAACACTTCCTTGTAAACACTTTCTTTGTAAACAATTCATATATCAATGAAAGTTCAAGTGTACATATTCAAGCAATCTTCAAGTCTTAAGTAAGCTTTCTTTTCTTTCTTTAGTGCATTTGTTTAATTAGACTTCTAGTCCAAAACAGGGAAACACTATTGTAGTTATATTATTAACCTGCTAAACTGACGATCATACTTTGTTCGAGCACTCTGTTATAGTTGAATGCTTGCCATACAAATAACTGGACATTAACCAGGGTGCCTCTGAGTTCAGCTATTAAGGCCTTATACTTGTACTGAGAGTGGCCGTCATGTTGAAACATGTCAAGTTTCATGTGTAGTTGTTATAATGGTCATCCGACTATTTAATCGGGCCTTCTTCACGAATCTGGTATTAGAGCCAAGTTTAACATTTTAATAGTATAATTATAATAGTAAAGTACCTTGTGGACGGAAGTCATTAACACAACTGATATCACACTTGTTTATTTTGTATGAACAACAAATATTATTGTCCTTGTAAACCTTGTCAAGCATAACCACCATGTATTTATTGTCCCATACATCCAATTATAAATAACATAAAGAGAAGATTAGCATATATATCCTAAAGAATTAGCAATACTTTGAAGAAGCAGAAGTTTTATCTTGGTTATCTTGAACTTCCCTTATTTATTCGTAAATATAATAACTCAGAAGTGCAGCATAAAGTTTTAGAAGCAAAAAGAGCAACATATCAAGTTTTAAAGACCCTAAGAGAAGAAAGAGAGTTTCTAAGAAACCAATTAGTTGTAACTTTAGAGAAAGGTATATTGTAGTTTATGATAGATTATCTTAATTTAGAAATTAGTGAACCTCAAAAAAGAAAAATAACCTTAGACCAAAATAGTTTGGTTTGTTATTTTCCATTGAGAAAGCATAATCATATTTTGCATAGTGAAGAAAATCCACAAACCAATAGTATTGTAGATCTTATTATTAGTCAAGTAGAAAATATAAAATTATAAAATAATAAGTATAATCATTTGTTAAACCAGTTAGAAGATAATAATAAAAATATTCAAAAGTTTCCTAGCAAAAGAGAGATAAAAAAGCTTGTTGACCTCATAGATAGTAAGCTGAAGCAAGTAGAATTTAGATCACTAGAAATAGTTGAGCAGTTAAAATTAGAAGTTCAAAAAATTCAATTAGTGCAAAAAGAGTTGAGTGAACAAATAGATAAGTTGCATAATAAAATAGATAAATTATTAGTTTAATGACCGATTCTAGAACTAGCAGAAAATATATCCAAACTTTGAAAGAAATTAGTAAGTTAGATAAAGAACTAGTAGGTTTAATAGATTTTTCAACACAAGTATCTAGTAGTAATATTCCTATTAGGCAAAATAATTTAATTATTCAATTAGTTTTAAGTTTGGTTGAAAAATTAGATCAAGTTAAAGAACAAATAGCAGAAATAAACCAAGTTTTACATAACTCATCTTCATCACTTCCACCATCTTTGCTAGATAAATTAGAAAATTTAACTTTAAGACCTAAGCTAAATCCTTTTGATAATAGAAAATGGAACTCTTTAGGAAAAAGGGAAAAGAAGTACTTTGAGTTGAAGATATTTATCCTAATAAAGAAGAAGCACAAGAATTTATTAGAAGAGGTTTTGAGAGAACACAAAAAAATAAATATAATTTGTATCAATTAGGTTTATTTGAAAATAAAAGCAGAATTGTAAGTAATATCAGTCAACATGAAGCTAGCTGTATTGATAAAGAAGTACTTAATTTAATTAGTAAGGAAGCAGTTATGCATTTGAGAAAATCACATTTCAGTCAGATTCATATAAGAACAATATTATTTGGAATAGCATGATTAACCAAAGCATAAGTAGAGACAAAAACATTAGTATACATATATGATGATAGATGAGATAATCACCAACAAGCAGCAATAGCAACAACTGAAATAGATTTAAGTTCAAACTTAGCAGTCATAGGATGTATTCCAAATTATATTATGACAATTAATGAATTTAGTAAATATATTAAAGTGAGCATAAGAACAAAAAATTACAATATGAAAGGAGAGTATAAAAATTTGTGTATTAGCTTAATGTATATTGGAAAAGTGTCTGATAAATATAATTATAAGTTTAATTTAGAATTTCAAAATTTAGTTCAAATATTTGGTAGTAAACATGTAAATATGATAGAAGTAAAACCGTAGATAATAGCTTTTTAAAAGGAACTCAATGGACATTACCTAATTTACAAGTAGCAAGAAATAGACAACCAGATAAAGTACAAATATATGAAACTAGGACAAGTCAAGCAACAATTCGGTTTAGTAATTACAAGCAGCTAGAAAAAATAGAAGAGGTTGAAAGTGAGATTGAAAATGAGAGTATACATATGGCTTTTGATACTTTATAAATTAATCTAGTTGAGAAATTTTTTATTCATATTGTAGATAAACTTATAGAAAATATTGTTCATTTAGATGAAGAAGAATACTTAGAAAAATATAGGACATGACATGATTTAGAACTACATAGAATTTCAAATGAAATGATGAAAAAATTAATTTTAGAAATAGGAGTAGAACATATTTTAAGATCAAAAGACTATAATAATTTATTAGAATTGAAAGAATAATGTAATCCAGCAGAAGAAATTAGTACATCAGGAGTAGAAAATTCAGGACATGCAAGTAGAACTGATCAACAATTTTTGAGACCAACAAATGAACAAAATAAAGAAAAAGCAAAAGTATATTACATAAAAGAAAGTATGATAAAACCACCTAGAAAAAATAGGATTCCATATTTGAGAGGGTTAG